TTTCTAAGGTGGACTAAAATCTTAATCTACCCTTCAGATTACCTTTTGAGGTGACTGAGTTTATGTTGCAGTCGTACGAACGATCACAGCAGGTAAATATTTTCCTTTCTAAGTAGCAGGTGTTCGTTCACAGAAGTTTTCAATGGGTTTTAGGCACTGGTTTTAAATTACAGACATCACATTTGATTCAGATAGATATATATTTTGTTAATAATTATAAAAGTAGTTTAGTTTTGGTTCAGGGAGCGCGATCCACAGCAAGATCCACAACGATCCTGCTTCTCGAAGTGGTGAAAAGTAGTTGGTAAAAGTTGGAATGTCGGACTTCTTTCACTTTCATGATTGGGTCATTTTGACGCCCTTTTTTTCATGAACTCGATGATGCGATTCATGCTATCAGCAAGAAATGCCTTTTTTGAGGCAGAGTCTACAACCATGAGCTAGGCTAGTGATTCTATGGTCTATGTTGGGGAAACGCGTCGGAAGTAACCGTTCGTTGTATTCGGTGCCCTGAGCCATTAATCATTCAGACACCTATCTATATAACTATAGGCCCATAATCAAAAACCTGAAGTATTTTTTATCTCGTATAGTTGTCCTCTTGTTTTTAGACAACCAACTCTGTTCCGGGATCATGGCTTTTCTAGGTACATTATGTATGTTTTTCGCTCTGGGCCTCTGCTAAAGCTACAAGATTATGATGAAAAGTTTCTAATACGAAACGCAACCTCAAATAGCATAAATTTATTGACAGGTTAATGATGTAACCGTGGAAGCCATGCTTAACTGATCTTATGAATTTTTTCCTGGTCAGTTGAACTTGTTTCTTGCTGATTCCATTGTGACTGGCTCCAAGATGTTCGTTTTTGTCCGTTAGTTTAAGAGGCAAGGTTTGTCTTAGGCTACCTGTTTCTGAACTAAAGATCACGATGGTGTTTGAAAGAAAAAAGAACAGAAGAAGGTAAATATGGCTTGCAAAGTCCCAAACTAGGAAATCAGTCCTCGGTGTATGTAGCGACAGAATGACTATGCAAAATCGTGCATTTAAATAATCATAATGTCAATGTTTATATCAGGGACTATTCAGGGGATGAAAATACTGGCGTTTCTCATTTGATCTTGTTATACAATCAATTTTGCTGCTATTCGACTTTCCGAAAGGTTCGCTTGGAGAAAAAATTCAACTTCGTTTTTGTTGGAGATCAGTAAACACGACACAATGCCATCGTTCGTTTAAAGTCACAGCATCATTCGCATGAACAAAGATAATGACACACCAGTGCATTTCACTCGTTGATTCTCCTTGCCCTGGTGACAGTCTGTTCAGGGTTCATGTATGTCTTTGCCGCTGATAGAACTACCATCACCGTACTTAGCTTTGGTTGCAATTACTTTCTCCGTCCGCTGCTCCACTTTGCGTCGAGAATGAAGCAACGTATCTGAATGAGTCCTAAGGAGTAAGTTATTGCATGCATACGGTCACTCCTCTAAGTAGAGGATGACTTTGTTTTCCTCTGTATACATCGTGAATTTGGCGGAGTGTTTTTGTTTGCACTCGTTATGACTGCTGAAGTGTTGACAGTGCATCCCATGCGATTGCTGCCTTCTACACCTTCTCATCATCGTTCCTCATTGCACGACCTCAGGCGGGTGACCCCTTGCTATTGGCGACGCACCTCAGCAGCAATGTTCTCATTATGTGTACACTTGTCTGAGAATGTTTTCGTAACGAGTTTAAACAAACTTGGAGTTTAAACTTCTGATCAGATGCTTTAATGACTTTCTTAAAGTAACGAGTTGAAACAAACTTGGAGTTTAAACTATTGAACAGATGCTTTAATGACTGTGTTAAAGTTTCATGAAAGTTCTTAGCGAATTTTAACTTTAGTAGTAGTATATGGGTTTGACGCTGTTTAAAGTCACAAAGCGGTAGCTCTTCTGGCCTCGTGCCTTTCAGCTCAGGCTTCTTAATTACTATTGGTTTGAGGTGTTGTCTGAGTCTGACCTTAGTTCTGTTGTTCGCTGCAATGGGTAGTCTGAAAAACAAGAATTGTTTATGGCGAAAGTTTTCGACTGATGCCACAGACCTCGTTGAAATCAGAACATTGGTTCAGGAAAGGAAAGTAAGTTGAGAGACTTATTTTGACGCTTGACATGGGCATGAAAAGTTTACTCGCGTATTTACAATGTAGTATTGAATTAAAACGCTTTGTCGTGAATGACTGTCATGACCTTCTGCTGAAGTAAGAATCTAGAAGTGAAGCAGGAGCCCCTTCTGGTATGTTGAGATTGCGGTACGTGTTTGTATTTGAGGGATCATAACCTTGAGCTGTGTACATGAGCCAGCTGTCTTTGGTTGGTGCTTTCTCACGTGTTCGCATCTTTGCGACACTTTTGCTATGAGGCAAGAGTTACACCATCTTTAAAGTAACAGGTCCTCTCCGAAGTCAGATCTGCTTCTACCCTTCTCCTCCATGCTGAATGCTGGCTTCCTAACTGACTTTTTCTGTGTTTCAGAAGCTCGTGCGCTGTAGTAATAGGCTTAGGCC